TATTATTTAATACTATATTAATATTAAACCATTAAAATTTATTGAATAATCAGATTTCTTGAATAAAATATTATAAAAAATATATTCTCAAAATTTCAAAGTAAACGCGTTTTCCATTTTTATGTTTTGAGAAATAGTTTTCAGAAAGACAAAAAGAACACATTCTTAACAATTTCAAAACTGACACTCTAAATACAAAACACAAAATGAATTCAAAACTGAAAACTGAAACACAAAGAGAACAACTCCTTAACTTTTTCTTGATTTTCTTTTATCTTCTCGCTGATTAAATCCAACTCTATGGCCATTCTCTGCAATTCTTCTGATAAAAAACAATTTTATTGAATAAAAATTACACTTATACAACAATGACCAAATCAACATATTTAAAAAGAATTAATATTCTTAAAATAAAATATTTACTCTTCGTAAACCACGATAGAGGATTTGAATTTAATTATCGAGGAGGCAGAAGGACGGACAAAAATATTTACCGATGAAAACAAGAATAACCAAATATACGGTTTCAAAAAAAAATGAAAAATACAAATTAACATTCGTGTCCAAAAATGACTGAATTTATAAATGTATTATGGTTTGCCGGATCTTGTACTTGACAAAATGAAGGTAAATTAATGATTAAAAATTATTACATATTAAGGATAATGAAAATGTAGACTTAGCCCAGAAATTTAAGGTCACATACGATTTTTGTGAATTGTATCAAATGTTAGTAGCGTTTCAACTTTTATTGGCACAAACTTGAAAAAAAATTCCACTAAATGTCATAATATCTACGCATGATGAACAATGTTATTTATAAGCACCACTGATGGCCAACAATCCATTACTGACATGTTACCATATTATGAATACGACAAAAGTAAAAAAAAAATGCACCTAGGGTCGGAGGGAGGAGATGGTGGGCCTGGGCCGGCCTAGCCTGCCGGAAGTCCAATTAATTTTTCTAAGATAAATTTATTTATTTTTTAATGTATCAACCAGCAAACTTCACAAATGTATCATAAACGACAAATTGAACAATAAATCAATTTCAACATACACAACCAACATGCCATTTTTTAAAGAGAAAACCATAACGGACTATTTGATTGACAAATGTGGAAAAGTCACTCGAAGGCAAATGGCAAAAGTGGGCACATAAGTGGAGTAGGTGAGATGCTTCAAGATTAAATTAAGAATTAACAAAGCCTTAGTCTTATCTTAATCTTACCTTTCCCAAATAAAAACCTATGAAAAATGAGAGCTACTACACATACATGACGGAATTTTCACAGATTCTGCGAGGCCACACACATTCAGGTGGGGTCCATATTTTTTAATCATTTTTTTAAAACAGTGGGGCCCCCTCTATAGTGAGGGGCCTGTGAGCCCCTGTAAGAAAAAGCTCCTGTACGTGGAGCATTATACATGAAGAATATCGAAGTCAAGATTTAAAAATAGCTGCCCCGGCTGGCACTGAAAAGAGGCAAAAACATTGTACAAAAAAGGGCACAATTGAAATGAATTCAGTGATTTATTTCACAAAACAATGGATCAACCAACAGGTTATCATTATCTTTAGAAAGAAAGAAAAAAAAAGGCATAACACAAAATGAAAGTTGATCATCAATCATCAAGTTCAATCTTGATTCCATGGACAGTGATGGAATCGCCGAAGCTCTTTGGAATCAAAGTCACCAAAACATGCTGGTCGTCTTCAGCATCCAGATCCTCAAGAATGTCAGTTATTGATAACCTCAGATTAGTCTTTATCTTCTTCCCATGCTTATGCTTATGCGGCACATTTACAAAACTTCCGGCAAATTCAGTGTTATCCGGCGTACTTTCTTCGTCATCTTCGTCGTTAATAAACACATCAAATTTCGCGTACACGTCTCTTTCGAGTTCGATCCCTTGTATGATCAATATCTCCTCCAATTCGTCTTTCTCTTTCTTACTCCTCTTCTTCTTTGGCCTCTTCACCATGACTTTTATTACCTGTCCAAGACAAAATTTAAGTAAATAAAATTGGTCATATTAACTATTCAAGTTTACATACGAGATGGTCTAAGTCAACAAAAAAAGATGTTAACCTCGATTATGATGAATAAGCTTTCAGATTAGAAGGTTCAATGTTAGCTGATCTACTTTACGATAAATATGCTTTTAGATTAGAAGGTTCAATGTTACCTGATCTAGTTTTGCAGGGAAGATGTCCTTAGGACTTGGGGCATCAGCAGCATTTGCGTGGACGAGTTTCTTTAATTTCCTTGCAATGGAAGAAATACGAGGTTTTGGACGAGATTTTAGCCATGGAACTTCCACATCTTGGTACACATATCCAAGTTTAGTGTGGTCTAGACAATCTCGAACCTTAACACGTACCATTTTTGCATTTTCATCATAGAAAACGAATGAAGCATCGAGAAAATCAGGATCTGTTATGTCCTGACGCCTTCCTCCGAGGGCTTTCCATAGAGTCCACATTCTATCAATATTTGAGTGATGAGCAAAAAATATAGGGTCCCTTCCGGCTGAATAGAAATTCCCCATGTTCTCAGTATTAGGCTGGGTCCGATCACCGGTCCAAACATGGACAGGAGCATGAGGAATGTTCTCAATTGATCCGGAGCCGGGGCTAGGATCATCGCCGCTCCGGTAGGGGCTGCCGAAAAACAGCCGGGGAGTCTTGGAATTGGATACCATTTGCCTGTACATGATTGTGAGATTTCTGGAGGTTTGTTGGGCTTCGCCGGTGTTGGCATCGCTGCCGCTGAAGTTCAAATCGATAACCGCTGGAGGCTGATGAGCTCTGTCTCGGAGTGGATCGTAGAGGGAAGAATTTGAATTGGCGTAAATCGCCGGTAAATGCATGCCACCAGGTGCATCGTAATTCCAGAATGGCATGGCAAAAGTTGGATCATCGATTAATTTTCCCAAGATTCTTTCAAAGAAGTACAAATAATATCTATGGAATGGAAAAAAGAGCCATGAATTGTGGACTTGAAGTTCAAGATTTGGAAATCCGACTTGATCATAGGCACCATCGCAGTAAGCGCAATGGACATTGGCCTGTTGTCTGAAACTGCGTGGATCGTCGTCAGGAAGAGCCCTCATGAGCTCGACGGCTCTGTTAAATTTGGCAATATAAGCCTCGTCGGCTAGATGGGCGGCTGGCCGCACCCGCATGGTGGTGGGTGGTGGAGGAAACTTGAAATCTAGTATTTCTCCGGTGGGTGGGGGACAGCAATTTGTGGGTGCAGCGCCCTGAGGTAAGTCTGCTGGACCACATTTTGTGACGTCCGGGGCGGAGATAGGGGCTGCAAAGGCAAAGGGACTAGCACCAAGGCTGGTGGCGCCGTATAGTCCTCCTAACCCAATAAGCAAATTTCTCCTATCAAACTTTCCGGATGAAGATTCTTGATCGCCATCAATGGTTTTGCAAGATATTTTATGGCTAATCTTTCTGGTCGAGGGACTAAGTGCAGTCTTGAAAGGAATGAAATGCGAGGTGGAACGAGGGGTGGCGGTGGTGGAAATGGTGGTGGAGGGCGATGAAACAATGGAAGCCATCGTTTATGTTTGAGGTGAGTATTATGAAGGTACTTGGATCATCATTTATAGAAGGAATAAAAGACAAGGAGAACACGTGTCGACGGATGATTGGATAGTTTATGCTTGAGCCGTACAAGGAGTATTATTCAGAATAAAATGCATGCTAAGGTGAGAATTGAGACTATTCTAAAGAGTTGACAAAGATAAATAAAAGAAAACACCACGCGGGAATAGGAATAGAAGTTTCACATGAAAAAGTTGGCAATTTGAAAAATATTGCAATTTGGAGCTGCGAAAAGTCATTCGATCAAAGCTATCATGTCGGTGGGGACAATTGTCGATTACATAGGGAAAATTATCAACAAATCGAATACATATGATGAAATATTAATTGAAAAGTAAAAGACATGGTATTTGGTCGATGCTTAACGTGTTCACCATCTTCCACACCATTTGTAAAGGGTGTTGACTCGCTCGACACTTTGACAGATCAGTGTAGGGGGCTCTTGGACCCTGACCAATTTGGAGCATATCCCGCGGTTTACTTGATCTGCGTCTTAAGGGGTCAAGGCTTAGACCTCAGGATTAATCATCGAATGTGGACACCTGAGTATTAAAAAAAGTGTTTTTACATCCTTTTGTAAGACTGGGTTCGAAGTACCTTTTATATGATATTTTGATCAATATAATTCACATTTATCGATTAAAAAAAAAAAATTTATCCTATAAGTCTTAACTACAATTGTTTAGAATTTAGTTTGTTATTAGATTATAAAATATAATTAAGGAAAAGATGGCGGCTTCTCTATTGGAACACAAAGATTCAAATAGTGGACACACTTTACATCAAATTAATGTTTAAAAATGAAGATAATTGAGCAGATCTAAACAGCGAACGTGCCGCGTGCCAAAGAATGAAAAAAAAATTAAGAAAAGCCAAGTAAATGATTTAAATAAATTATATTAATTATCGTAAACCTAACCCCAAATAGACAGCCAGCAGCATAGTTGACTATATTCTTTCTTAGGAAGAATAACATTTAAGTTTATTAAAATCTATTCGGTATCGACTAAAATTCAGATTTAAATTAATAATTAATTTTAACCATATATTTTATGGGTCCCACAAATTTTTAACCACAAATCTCATCAATTTTTATTAAAATGTATTAAAAATCTGATTTTAATCCCTACTGGTAGTTATTATTTTGTTTAAGAATGCGTGTTTTTTATTTTTTTTTGACAAGTGGTGGAGTGCCATTTGTAAAAAGGGCTCGTTATAGAAGAAGAAACCATCTCTTTGCTGCCTAATTCAACAGCGGAAACGTGCATCTTACGGTTTAGAAATTTCAATGCAATAGGATTACGGAAAATATTTGACTTTTATCCCTTGGGTGGGAGCCCTAAATCAAATAGGAATTTTTTATTTCATTTTGAATTGAGTTCCATAGTAATATAAAATTCAGAATTGGAAATGTGATTTTCTTGCTGGTGGGAAGTCATGAAAAATGAATAAACAACTAATATTAGTGTAAACGGAATTGTATAAATATATGTCGTGATCAAGTTGAAAAATGAGGGAAGGTTGATTCCCGTTTTATATTTTTAACGGTCAATATTGAACCTTAAATTTAGGATCGAAGGTAATAGCTGGATTTTACAATAGAATAATGTAAAAAACATGTATTAGTAGACAGATCTAGATAATTAAGTGACATTAATTTATATGTCATTCAGTACTATTCACCTTTAAATGTTTTATCGCCGACAGTACGTCTTCGAGCTCTTAAGTTTCTGTTGTGAGAAAAAAAAATAGAAAAATACCTCTAGTCATTCAAAAAGAATTTAAGGATCCGTTTGATTGGTTTCAATTTCATGAAAAATGTCACATCTGAAGTATTCAATTTATAATTTGATTGTTTGATACGAAAGTGGAAATGAAGTTCAAATTCCAAGGAACAACCACTTAAAACTTTTTTTTTTACCAATTTCATGGAAAATGCATTTTTATGGGGTATTTAAGTTTTTATTTTCCAATTTACATTAGAAAGTCTTTCCACCTTTGTCAATCAAACTAACCTTAAGAAAAATTCGGAATGTCTGTTTCTTGGAAGACGAATATTCAAAATGTTAAACAATGAAGCTATTTGTACAATCCTTATTGACAATCATTATTGACAATTTTGGTGTTTTCAAAATTAGGATCGTTGATTTAAAAAATAATTTTTAACAGTTTTTAAAATGGATGAATATGATGTTGTCAATTGTAAAGTTGTCAATCAAAATTCTACAAGTAACATGATTCAAAGATAAATCAAAGAAAATATTTACATTAACATCATGAGTAATAGAATAAAGTTAATAAACTGAGCTATGGGAATTTTTTATGAGGAAAATTTTAAAGCAATAGCCTTAATGAGGAGAGGACCATGCTATGTACACATAGCATGGTACATAGGGGTGCACATAATGTGAGCGGNTTTTGTACATAATCATCTGTCTAGATGATAATTAAGTGACATTAATTTATATGTCATTCAGTACTATTCACCTTTAAATGTTTTATCGCCGACAGTACGTCTTCGAGCTCTTAAGTTTCTGTTGTGAGAAAAAAAATTAGAAAAATACCTCTAGTCATTCATAAAGAATCTAAGGATCCGTTTAATTGGTTTAAATTTCATGAAAAAGTCACATATGAGGTATTCAGTTTATACTTTGATTGTTTGATACGAAAGTGGAAATGAAGTTCGAATGCTAAAGTACAACCACTTAAAACTTTTTTTTTTTTTTACCAATTTCATGGAAAATGCATTTTTATGGGGTATTTAAATTTTTATTTTTCAATTTACATGGAATTAGAAAATCTTTCCACCTTTGTCAATCAAACTGACCTTAAGAAAAATCCAAAATGTCTATTTCTTGGAAGACGAAATATGCAAAATGTTAAACAATTAAGCTATTTGTACAATCCTTATTGACAATTTTGCTGTTTTCAAAATTAGTATCGTTGATTTAAAAAATAATTTTTAACAGTTTTTAAAATAGATAAATGTGATATTGACAATTGTGAAGTTGTCAATCAAAATTGTACAAGTAACATGATTCAAAGATAAATCAAAGAAAATATTTACATTAACATCATGAGTAATAGAATAAAGTTAATAAACTGAGCTATGAGAATTTTTCAAGAGGAAAATTTTAAAGCAATAACCTTAAAGAGGAGAGGACCATGCTATGTGTACATAGCATGGTATATAGAGGTGCACATAATGTGAGCGGACCCCACCCCTCTCACATTGAGCTTTGCTTGGGGTACATAGGGGATAATATAGGGGTTGACATAATACTCACATGGGGTGGGATAGGGGTGTAAGCGGTCCGATTTTATTGATTTTTGACAAATTTTCAAACCAAACCGTTTCAATTGGTTTGAGAAAAACTCAAACCTAAATCAAATCGTTTTGACCGGCTTGAAAAAAATTCAAACTTAAACCTAACGGTTTGATCCGATTTTAAACNTTTGAAAAAAACTCAAATTTAAACCCAACGGTTTGGTCCGATTTTAAACCGTCGGTTTCGCGTATATTTTAAACCGTCAATATTGACCCTTAAATTTAGGATCGAAGGTAATAGCTAGATTTTACAATAGAATAATGTAATTTTGTACATAATCATCTGTCTAGATGATAATTAAGTGACATTAATTTATATGTCACTCAGTACTATTCACCTTTAAATGTTTTATCACCGACAGTACGTCTTCGAGCTCTTAAGTTTCTGTTGTGAGAAAAAAAAAATAGAAAAATACCTCTAGTCATTTAAAAAGAATTTAAGGATTCGTTTGATTGGTTTCAATTTCATGAAAAATGTCACATCTGAAGTATTCAATTTATAATTTGATTGTTTGATACGAAAGTGGAAATGAAATTCAAATTCCAAGGAACAACCACTTAAAACTTTTTTTTTTACCAATTTCATGGAAAATGCATTTTTATGGGGTATTTAAGTTTTTATTTTCCAATTTACATGAAATTAGAAAGTCTTTCCACCTTTGTCAATCAAACTGACCTTAAGAAAAATCCGGAATGTCTATTTCTTGGAAGACGAATATTCAAAATGTTAAACAATAAAGCTATTTGTACAATCCTTATTGACAATCATTATTGACAATTTTGGTGTTTTCAAAATTAGGATCGTTGATTTAAAAAATAATTTTTAACAGTTTTTAAAATGGATGAATATGATGTTGTCAATTATAAAGTTGTCAATCAAAATTCTACAAGTAACATGATTCAAAGATAAATCAAAGAAAATATTTACATTAACATCATGAGTAATAGAATAAAGTTAATAAACTGAGCTATGGGAATTTTTTAAGAGGAAAATTTTAAAGCAATAACCTTAATGAGGAGAGGACCATGCTATGTACACATAGCATGGTATATAGGGGTGCACATAATGTGAGCGGGCCCCACCCCTCTCACATTGAGCTTTGATTGGGGTACATAGGGGGTAATATAGGAGTTGAAATAATACTCACATGGGGTGGCATAGGGGTGTAAGCGGTCCGATTTTATTGGTTTTTGACAAATTTTCAATCCAAATCGTTTTGACCGACTTAAAAAAAACTCAAACCTAAATCTAACGGTTTGATCCGATTTTAAACCGTCAGTTTCGCGTATATTTTTTTGCACGTCTAGTGTCTACTTTTATGCCATTAATAATTCAATATATATTTATATCTTACTAGCAATAAATCTAAAACAAACTAAATATATCTATTA